GGACACTACTGTTCCACTGCTAAATGTCACAATGAGTTTTACACCTCGATGTGAAAGGAGCTCCTAAAAAATCAATAGACAATGAAATTGTTTAAAACAAAATAATTAGAATTTAAAATATTTTTTGCTAAAAATTATTTAACTTAATTTTCTATTAATTTAGTTCGGGTTGGTTCATTAATTTATACTTTGGTGTAATATAGATTACAATCACCACAAGTCTTAGGTGGAAATGCAAAGTATTACTGAGAATAATACAACAGAGGAAGATATGAATACAACAAGAGGAAACCCAACCTTACCAATCACAACCCACTCAAAAAAATAGTCTACTAATGGTTTTATTAGTACTAATTACTAAACAAGACACGGTATAGTTCTGCTTTAAAATGAATACCGTGTCTCAAAGATGTTAAAGGTTTTTGAAGTGTTTAAAAAACTAAATAAATCTGAAAATGTAATTTAATACTGCGGTTTTAATTTTCAATGTGAACAACTATTAATTATATTGTTTTTTGAGAAACGAATATCTGGTAAATTAAGACTAAACCGATTTCTTGTTATATTAGAAATGATACTAGTGCAGCGTTAGTAATCAGAAACTGTAAACATATTTCGATATGATATTTTTCGTAGAGATACTAGAATACTAGAAGTTTTTACTTTTCCCCAAACCTGTATTCTCCTATTATATCGGAATATATAGTATCAAATATATGAAATTTGATACTTATATATTTCACATTTTATTTTTTCCTAGTAATATTTTTAGTAACTAGATAGTTAAAGTTATGGAATAATAACGTGAATAGAACAAATTACCTTCTCTTGGTAAAAAAATGGCAAAATCTTCTGATGACAATTTAGTGTACTTATCATGAAGAATAACTTTTCGAACAAGTTTCTGAAGAAGGTTGCAACGTGACATCAGAAGCGACAAACATTAGAAGTTTACATCAAAAAGACCATGTGTGAGATTCATAAGATCAAGACGAGAATACTGGAGATATCATATCGATAGAATGAAGGATGGAAGATGGGTGAAGTGAATAAAGAAAAAAAGAGTCATATCAAAGATTTATGGCGGAACACCTAAGCGATGGTATGAGAGCTGCAACTCAAGAGGCTTAGTAATTTATAACTGAAAACAGAAGATTTTGTCTGAATAAAAGAAGAGCAACAGAACAGTTTATTCACCGGACAATGCTTCTGGGCCAAATTGACAATGTGCTAATTGTAGTGATGATGTATGGTTACCAAGGCAAAAGTAAGGGTACATGAGATGTTGGTAAGAGTCTATGTACTGTACGTAATGTATACCAGCACTATTGGTAGACAAGGTACTGTTTAAAGGAATACCATAAGAACATATAGCTTACATTCACGAGGATCCATTTGGCGGTGTACTTACGAGCTATTTAACGATCGATTTAGTGTAAATCACAACTTATAGTCCTATGTGTGTTCACCACCATTACAAATTGATGTTGAAAACGATATAGAAACTATAACATTCTATACAAGATATGCAACGGTACTTAACATAGTTTTCATTGCCAAGTAGCCTCTTTTGTGTTTATAGCAAAGATCCCTTAGTGCAATAATTTTTCGGCGATTGCTAACTGAAAAATATGATACAATGCCTGTTTTGTCCTTGTACAGTTTGAATTGGTGGTGTCTTCATAGCAGGTATACTAATTAACTCGAATACCAATTATCCACGTATAAAGATGTAGTTTCGTTAAGAATTAGTTCCACTACTTCCATAATGACACTTTTAATATCCGGCATATCACTTCTTTTGAATTTCATCAATGATTCATCAACTAATTTATTTTTTGGAGTGTAAAGATAGCTGAATGTATTGTTCATATAATCTACTATATTTTTGAGTTTTCTAAATTTCGTCATCTTTATTCATGTTTTGTCAGTAAACTGTAAGAATTCTGAAATAACAAAGACTGGCGTATTTATATCTGTGAAGTTTTTACTTTTTTATCTGCAACATAACAATGCATAATACAGAATATATATTTCTATTTCATCTAAAGTTACCTTTGTTTTATTTGCTAGATCCTCTTTTTCTATTACTTGTCTAGATATCTATTTGTTTCTTCTAGTATAACATTCCAAAATATCGCACTAAGAATTTGTTCCAGGACTTTCAAACGTGTATAATTATGATTTAGTGTATGTAGGCACAGAGGATTAATTGCAGGTATTTCATAAAATTGTTTTATATCAGGTAGACTTCTCTTTGTGTCCCAAATCTATTGGAAATATTGAATGGTGTCATTAAGAGATGCGCTTTCATTCTCAATTACTGTGCCATATTCACTGCAAAATTCTTTATCATCAGATTGTTCCAAGTCATTTTCATTGCTGTTATAAAAAGAATCACTTATCGCGAGTGGCATAACGGCCCCACTTTGTTAAATCGTACGGTATAAATATAAAAACAAAAACTAACTTTTATCTTCTTAAATATTGAATGTTCAAACGTGAGTGTGAATAACTTAAGCCGTAAAATTTTCAATTTCTGCGTGCAAAACCTTATATTCCCATCAATATGGAAAAAAGCTACACTTACAACAATCCCCACACCTGGAACAAACCATTCTCTTCCACAATGCTACCGCCCTATCACCCTATTGTCTATAATTGGAATAATCTACGAAAGTATCCTTAACACCAGAATTCTTCACCTTATCAAAGACAAAACCTCATCACAGAAAGGTGCGATCTTATTTCTTGAGATAAATAAAGCCTTCGACACAGTCTGGCACCAGGGCCTTCTATACAAGATGGATAAATTAGGAATACCTACACCCTACCTGAAAATTATAGGTTAATATCTTCGCGACAGGATACTGAGCATCAAAATTAATAATGCTACATCCTTCCCTTTCTCCCCTCTCTAAGGACTACCTCAAGGATCCCCAATCTCACCTACCCTGTACAACGTCTACTGCTATGATATATGCCCTCCAACCCATCCAGACACCAACTATATTGATCCGTATAGCTACATATTTCAATATGCAGATGACACAACACTAACACAACACTAATATCGCATGGAAAAAACCTTCAAATAGCAATAGAATCACTCCAGACGCTATACAACAACATATCATCATGGTTCCACAAATGGAGAGTCACCCCAATCCGGACAAATTCAAACTATTGATCCCACACTCCAGAATCATTGATCAATCCCAGCACATCACGACAGGCACATCAATTACAAAACCTACAAACTTGGTCAAATATTTGTGCATAACCCTGGACAACAAGTTGAAATTCAAAGCACACTAGAAACAGAGGTAACAAGACGAGCAAAACATTTTAGATCATTGAGCTACAAAGACAGAGGTTTTTCTGTAAAATCTGCGACACAGATTTATAATAGTATATGCCGACCACTCCTCGATTATGGACATCTCACAACTATATGTTCCCCGGAGTCAACAAAGGAAGTAATCAGGAAAGCAGAAAGAAAATGTTTACGAATTCTGACAAAAATTAGACACCCGAACAATCCACTCCACAACATAAACAATGAGGATCTATATTCAAGAACGGAGATAAAACCAATCTCAGAGAGGCATAAAATGCTGAAAGAAAAATTTTCTAAAAATGCCGAGCAAAACACCCTACATCAGATGTGCAAGACTCGAATAAACGAAGAAAGACCTAAAACATTATATGAAGAACTAACATAAATATACTGTTATTTTATAATTAATGTAAGCGGAAAGACCCTATAACGGTCGATAGCTGAATAAAGTTATTTTCCCTCTCTCTTTCTAACTTTACAACATTTTGGCAGATATAGAAAGAACAAAGTATATCCTTTTTTATGATTTTTTCAGGAAAATTTATACTGTCTCATAGATTAAATAAATCAAACTGAAATAATGGTTGTGACAAAATAAAAGCTATTTACAACAATATTTCAAAAACTATGACATTTTTCTCAATTTAATTTTCTTCGTATATCTAACAATTCTCGAACATAGGGATGAGGGCACGGAATTTAGAACATTTGTGTAATTTAGAAATAGAATAAGTTTATTAACCTCTTGAGTGGCGAGTTTCTCATAACGTTACGCAATCATGACAGATATTTACGTCTTAGTTAGTTACGAGGTTAATGATGGTAACGTAATTAACAATAACTTAGGTTCATAATAATTTATTAACGTTTATATTTACATTATTATACATTTATTTGGTGCTTTCCATAGCATGTATTCCAATATTTTAAGACTAGGTTTACAATAATATATCAGATTGTAGGTTCAAAAAATATTTGTTTAAACTAAATGTTTAAGTAATCTGTTAGCCTTACATAATGATTTACAATCACATTCAACAGGTATAAGGTAGAATCGATACTAATTCAATTACAACCCATTACACCCCATTCTCATTAGCTGTATCGAATATAAATAAAACGAGCAAATACGATCTCACTTCACAAGCGGTTTATCGTTTATTATATTTTGCAATTACATTTATTAGTAATTACCAATTAATAATGTTGTCACTTTAAAGCGGGATTTTGTATATAATTGAAATGCAAATGTTAATGCCTATCTTAAAAAAGTATCATTTCGACCACCTGTAAAATGCGCGGGGTGCAAAGTCAAAAATTGACCGCATAATACATTTATGACGGGACGTGGTGGTGGGGTGTCTCGAAAAGACTGTCTAGAAGGGGAAGGGAAAGCTTTGTCGAGCAGGCGCGCAGGTTAGTTCGACCAGGAATGCCAGGGAGGTTATACTATAACGCTCTGCGTCCAAACGAAAGCGCGACGTTTTCGAAAGCATCAACATTTAAAAGCCGTTCGAATTAATTTTTTAATCAGGGTGGTTATGTTTCTTTTTCACCCCAAACAAACTTTTTTTATCACTATTCATCATTTTATAATTTAATTGTGATTGATTACTTTAAAAGTAAAAACTTTTTTTAAATAGTGCTACAAATTTGTATCATTTTTTGTTTTGTTAAATTTTGTGTATTATAAAATAAACTACATTAAAAACTATAAAGTGATTTATTTTTTTTGTGACCGAAATGTGAAATGTGGAGTTAAAAAATAAGCGAGAACATCCACAATTTTTAGGGTATGTAATTTTTTCTTGAAATTTTTTACGGTGTTTTAAAAGCTTTAAAAGATTTTGGGTTTTATCAAATAATTGCAATGAATTGAAGGTAATACCGGACATGCGCTTAATACCCACCTTCTATAAAACGTTATTCAATAATCTGCACCCTCATTCAACTCTAATTATAGTCTGGAAAGTTGTCACGATGGGAGACTTACTTAGTGCAAATGACCAAACACCTCCGTCGAGACTTGGGGTCATTATAATTCCCATCTCGTGTTCGTCAGTGTCCGTCCGTTCAATGAACGTTCACCGATTCACGATTCCTATCGATATCACGACAGGTGTATTGTAAGGAATTTTGCAATAACGAGATTTGAATCATTATTATCGGATTTACATTCTTTAAAGCTTTTTTTAACATCCTCTATTAGATTTATTAGGATATCAATATCGTGAGTTGTTGTTATACAGCCTGATTCACAGTAAGCGCCTTATTTTTTTTAACCACACTATGGGTATTACTTTCAAAATATTTGGCAGTAATATGTTTTAGGACATTCTCTACACGATGGTGATATCATATTTTCAATTGGTGTTTTGTCCAAATAAATAAGTAGATGTTTATTACAAAATAAAGTTTAATTGTTTCTTTTGTGTCTAGCACTACTTGATATTTGGACAAAAATAACATCAAGTGTAAAACATTTATGTGCTACTTACTAGATTAAAATGTTAGTTGCTTTTTGATGCGGAAAGAAAAATTTTGGCATTCCATTTAAAAAAAAAAAAGTTGGCAGTCGCCATTTTGAAATAATTCGCCCAATTGATAATATGATACCACCATCGTGTAGAGAATCTCCTAAAACATATTACTGCCAAATATTTTGAAAGTAGTACCCATAGTGTGGCTAAAAAAAAATAAAGCACTTACTCTGAATCAGGCTGTATATAGATTTAGTAAACAAATAATGTTGAATTACTGTACACAATAAAGATTACTTTTATCTTATGAATTTTCTTAACAAATAGACATATTATATAGTAAATACTTCATTTCTAAACCTCGCTCTGTATCAAACAAACTACTCTCTGTTATTGCTATCTCAATTCCCAAAACGTCACAAACAAAAGGCAATTATACAAAACGATCTAAATCCGCGATGTTTTAAAATAGGTGCGTTTGAATTGGCTGTGATACAATGGAGTTTGATAATACCACATTGGAGGTGGATACGGTGTGCCCATTTATAAAAGGGGTGCGAAGGGAATATAACTCAAACCAACCCGAATTTTATCGTACCCATTTGACGAGTTATTTTACGTTTAAATACGGCGTTATTTCGAAGTTTACATAAATCGATTTATCGATATGCCGGGAATGTGAATATAGACGTTTATTTTCGTTGCCCGGGTAGCTCAGTCGGTAGAGCATTGGACTTTTAATCCAAGGGTCCAGGGTTCAAGTCCCTGCTCGGGCGGTCTTTTTTTATATTGTATATAATAAAAATACAGGTGATTCTCAACCTATACGCGTAAACTTGGGTATTTACTCCTCATGACGAATAATGACATAGGCGAAAAAATTAGGGGTAAAAGATTTTCTGTTTCATAGATTTCCGTGATATTTATTAATAAAAAATATAAATATGTAGGTATATATATATTTTAATATGTTCGATGTATTCTAAAAATGGTTATTTTAACATTTTAAAATAACATCACAGCAAGTGTTCAAAGCATTCGTTCCCATATTTTCTAGGGCTCGGAATCGTATTCGAATAATTCGAATAGTCGAATATTCTAATAATAGTCAACTATTTTAATCATTCGTTAAAAGAAAATAATAATTTTGTTTGTACAATTTTTTGATTCATTCTTTTTTTTAATGTCTTTTTTTTATTATTTTATTTAATTTTCATATTTTATTAGCCGAAAAGTCGATTATTTGAATAGTCGACTATTCTAATAATAGTCGACTATTTGAACATTCGTTAAAAGAAAATAATAAATTAGTTTATTTGATACAAATTTTTTGATCCATTCTTTTTTTTAATGTCATCTTGTTTTGTTTATACAGAAGATATTTACCAATATTTTCTTATAGAACTTTCTTAACCCATTAACAGCCAAAGGTGCGTAGACGCACCTTTTCGTATTTATTTTTTTTCAATCTAAATTAAAACAAATTTTTGCTATTTATTTCATTAAACCATTAGTATTAAGTCTAAAGAATCTTGTAAAATTGTTAGTGTTAACAAAATGCACTATATTGTATTTAAAAAAAATACAGAATATTGCTAATTTCGGGTGCCACAGCATTGATTTAGAAAAAATAACAAAATTTGTTTATACATTAATTATAACAAAACTGTTTCTATGGCAAACACTTCCCAAAATATTGTTTTAAACATGGTAGAAATATATTTATTTTATCATAAACGAAACAAATTCTTTAACCAGTGCGGTAATTAAATAAATTCGAAAAGTTGTCTTTCAACTGGTTTATTTTAAGTTTAAGTTCAACCTGACATGTTTCGGTCTTTTAAATGACCATCATCGGAGGTATCGTAAAAATGACATATGAGGAATAACATATAACGTAATAGAGTAGCTGCCAGCAGATATGTGTGGAAGATGTCTTTGTGGTGATCCACAAAGACATCTTCCACACAAAAACATATTATTTAAATAGTAATAATGTTATAAACATTGAGGCTGCGTATACGCACCTTTGGTATTTTGAAAGAAAAAGGTTTTTTTTGCAACGGGAACAGTGGGAGATAATCGGCTGGCAAACTGTCCAATCGAAACAAAGAAAGTTATGAAGAAAAAACAACGAGGTTCGTATATTTGTGTATTTGATCCCAATTTGGAAGTATTAGTGGTACAGTGGAACGACAATTGGGTCGTCACAGTAATTACCAATGTTTGTAAAGTACTCCCTCTTGCCCAGGCTACACGGTATAACAGAAAAGAACATAAAGAAGAAACAATTCCACAACCCCACGTAATAGCAGACTATAATAAATATATGGGAGGAGTTGATCTTCACGACAATGGCATTGCTAATTACAGAATCAAAATAAGAGGGAAAAAATGGTGATGGCCATTGTTTATCAACATGATAGATAGCGTAGTAGTCAACAGCTGGAAAATTTTTAAAATGGCAAACAGATCTAAAATGTCGCAATTACATTTTCGCTCCTCATTGGCAATAAGTTTGATGAAATTCGAAGGCCAATCTGAATTAACAAGTGCCTAACCCTTCTTCTTCTCATGGTAGAACATCATATATATTATTTTTATATTTATTTTTTATCATAAATAATTATTCGTGAGACGATCTTTTTTATAAAAAGAAACAATTATAATTTTATTTCATACTAATATAACGATCGAAATATTAGTATGAAATAAAATTGTTTCTTTTTATAAAAAAAATCATCTCACGAATAATTATTTAATATTATTATCAATTACGATCGATTAATTTCTTTTATTTATTGTTATAATAAAAGAATCGGAAGCCAATTTGAGAAAAAACTGCAAAGTCTGCAAAAGCCATACAATATACTTTTGCAAAAAATGTAAAGTACATCTGCACGCTGATTGTTTTGAATATTTTCATATTAATGTATAATTTTAGTTATTAAATTACTCTTATTTTCCAAAGTTTGAATAAATTATTTTTCTTCTAAATGACACGATTATTTGCCAAAGGTGCGTAAACGCACCCCCATTTATTTGAAGCATTTGATTTTTTTTTAGAACATACTTCAAAATTATCTTATTTAAGGTAGTTTAAGAAATATTCAATCTATTTTTAAAAATAACAATGGATTTTTATGGTCGTGGCCATAAATGGGTTAAATCAGCTTTTTGTTTTGTAGTACGTTAATGATGTCGTCCACGTTAATATGTTTTTCTTTTTCTCTTTAATGTTGTATTAATTTTTAACTTGACGAGGGTAAAATATATTTTTAATTGTATTTGTTTCTCCTGAAATTCTGAAAAATTAGTACTATACGTTTTGTTAAACAAATTATCCGAATATTTGAAAAATTCGGCGATTCGGCTAGTCGACGACTATTCGACTAGTCGACAACTATTCCACTAGTCGAATATTAATAAATATTCGAATTAGTCGAATTGTTCGACTATTTGAACTGAAAATTATACGACTACTCGAATATTTAAATTTGTAAAATTCCGAGCTATAATATTTTCTATCAATTGAGCTCCCCGAATCCAAGATCTCACACTAACGCGGCCTAAACTAGGGTGTTGGCGGATTATCTGGGCAGCAGCATGTATCTGATTTTGCAATATTTGCTAAGTATTAACTTCCGTGGCGTACACTATGCTCTTTAAGTGACCCGAAAGGTATAAATCAAGAGGATTGAGGCCGGGCGATCACTGTGGCCAGGCCATTGGACCATCTCGACTTATCCATCTTCCACGAAATATTATTAGATTATATTATCTAGATGTCGCCGATTACATCAAATATCTAGGAAACTAAAAAACTTTTACTACAATTTTTTTCATCTATTAGTCATCACTTGTCCTGAAGAATAAATCCCTCAGTTTATGCGTATAGGTTGAGAATCACCCTGTATATAAACAATACATCCACATATATTGACATTAATGAAAGCAATACTTTTCTAATTTAATAACATTTTTAACGATCTCAATTATTTTTATAATTTACTAGTTGAATTTATTTGATTAATAAATCCAACTGTCAGCCAACGGGAGCGATTAAAATAGCATAGGTTTAGCTTACAAATAACGAATCACGAAAACTCACTAAATTAGGCCAATTAACATCCGACCTTGCCATTAATTGGTCCAAACACGTTTTTCTAAAACACATGTACAAAGTTTGTTAGTTATGATATATTTTATAGTATTAATATTTACCGTCTTAAAGTGTTACAAATGGAGAGGTGAAAAAACGCGTAACATCGTAAAGCAGCAATGGAGACAGTATATTATTATTTCCGAATATT